ATAATTTCTATTATTAAAGAAAAAGATAAGGAAAAAGATAGGTAGGATATATCAAGGGGAAAACGAAGATAAAGAGAAGAGAATTTTTTATAGATCGTATAGAATTCTATCTAGAAGTCGTAGACTTCTGAGGTACTGTAAATCGAAAGAATTCTAGCTGATCATAATTTAGGAAGCTTAGCGAGATAAAGAATTGAGAATAGGTAGGACAAAAAGAAGCAAGATTAACTTTTCTATTTCTATTTAATTGATAGATCTCATAAATATATCTTGGAATATAATGATATATATTAGCCTTCGTTTTCCCGCCCCTATCTTTCAAATATTGCGTTCGTATCTGATTTAAAATTCGATTACTTTTGATTCATATTCGGCTTCGTTCTTGATTTCATATAAATTCGATAATTTGTATAGTCCATATTCTATTGGATAATAGAATTTAATATTTATTAAATTCAATATTCTTTGATAGATGATGTCTCAAATATTTTTGAAATGATTATGAAGGGAGATATAGATATTAATTCTTATCATTTGATTTAAGATATAGAATCTATTTTTTGAATATTGAATGAAATTGAAAATATTATATTAGAAAATATAGAAAGATTTACAGATTTTGATAATATTTCTACGATTGATTATCTTATATAAATTTTTGAGAGCATATTATATAGATTATATATATTATATTAATTCAAAATATAGGAAAATTTCGAATCTTATAAATTGAGTTCAAAGATCCCATATATTCAAACAAAAAAATAGAATAATTAATCCTATAATCTCATGCTTCGAAATCTGAAATTTTCTGATCCCTATATAGGATTTTTGGGTGATATTTGAATCCTGGATTCGGAATTTAGAATTCCGAGCCTGGAATTCTGGAGTTCTGAATTAAGAGTCCGGACCCTTGAACCCAAGATTCGAATATAGAAATTCCTTCCGGTTCCTAGATTCGAATTTTAGAATTCAATTCTCAATTCAATTCAATTCTCGAATTCTCGAATTCGGAATTGAATTCAGAAATGAATTTCAGATATATCGGAATTCGAATCTTGGGATCGACGAATTCTGAATTCAAAATTCGGAGGTGAGCTCAGAATTGAATTCTGTTCTATTGGAATTCGAAATCTGGATTCGCAGAAATTCTGAATTCTAATTCTCAATTTGTAGAATTCTATATTCTGGTTTGGGGAATTCAATATTCCAATAATTTCGAGGAAATCTGAATCCGAATTCTAAATTTCAGAATTCTGAAATCTGGAATTGTAGGATCGCAGAATTCTAAATTCGTCTTTATTCAAATTCCCAATTATGTGAGAAACCTATATTTGGAGAATTCTATTTCGAATCCTTCGAGATATATCTAATGATCAAATGAAAAATTTCAATATTCATTTTGAGAGTTTTCGGATTTCTCCTCTCCCTCAAGTATTTATATATCTTCTATTCATATTTTGTTCGTTTTCAACTCTCCCAAAAAGCGATTTCGTGGGAAAATTTTCTTTCTTTATTTTGAATCAAGATTTCTATCTTTTCCTTTATTTTCTTCATTTTGATCTTCCTAAAGCGAATTCGTGAGAGTTTCTCTTTCTATCGTATTGGGCACGGTCGGGAGGGAGGATTTGATATATGATGCTATATATAAATTATCCAGAATTTCTCGTATTCCGATTCCATTGAGATTCTATTCTTCTTCCTTCTTTCTTGATTTCTAGATAATTATTCTCCCTCCCCATCCCAAAATTTGAATTACGTTCGCACGCAATATCGATCTTCCGATACGAAAACTATTTCGAATATAGGATGAATTTAAAAAATATATATATTATTTTTGCCTCATCTCAATATATATATATATGAAATATCGGTCATAATCATACGAAAGGAATTTCGAATAGAAAAAAGAATATATATTTTTTCTATTCTATTTATATCGATACGAAATATATTTCGAATATATTATGAGTTAGAGAAAAATATAATCGATATATCTAGTTATATATAAGAGATAATGATAAGAAGAAAAGAATAATATTGTTAAGAATAATAAGAATAAAAAATTCACGTATATATGAAATGTCGGGCTCATCGATACGAAATATATTTGAATGATTGCGATGATTAGAAATAGGGAAAATCTAAAAATTCAATGGATATATCGAAAGAAAAAGGAATATTAATCTATAAATCCGACGAATAAATCGATGTCTCTAACAGAAATTTGAAATTCGATCTTCTATTATCAATTTGAGGTAGGGATTTCAATATTATTCATATAATTTTATATTATTCCGATCGGATCGAGATTCAATATTATCTTGAAGATATAAGATATTAGATAGTATATATATATATCTATTAATTCTTTCTATCTATATCGAGAAGAATTCATGAAAAATAATAAAAAACAAGAAATAGAAATTTATGAATCTTAATTTTTTTTTATTTCAATTATTTCTGTAATTTCCCATACTATATGAGTCTTTTCTATATTCATTTTAAATTATAAGAATAATGAATCATATCTTTGATTGAAATTTGAAAATTGTTTCCCCATTTAAGCCATTTGAAAGATTTCGTCTATTCTCTTTCTTCTTTTATCAGTCGCGATCGCTTTTAATATCGATATCTAATTAGAGATATAATATTTGAACGATATTGCTTCTTGTCACCATTATATCTTGGTCAATCGCTATATCTATTATAAATTATTGAATCTATTCAGCTTTACTCACCATAGCAGATTTACGAAGAATATATCCGACCCTTTGGCCTCTTTTGATTATTTCTATTAGTACTAATACTACTTCTATTATTACTATTCCTATTACTACTAGCATTATTATCAATACTACTTCAACTATAACTACCACTACTACTTTCACTAATTACTACTACTACAAGGATTCGGACTCAGAATTGAGGGTTCTCCGAACCTAAGCATCGAATATTTGAAATTCTCCCAAATTAGAGTTCAGAATTCCAGAAATTGAGAATTCGAATTCAGAATTCAAGGTTCCCCGATCCTAGGCATCGAATATAGACTTCCCCGAATCCAGAATTCTACGAATCCAATAATCGAATATAGAATTCCCCAATCCCGAATTCATTTATAGATTTCCGCGTATAGAATTTCCCGAATCTAAAGTTCGAATATAAATTTTCCCGAATATGAAAGAAAGAGAATTATCGCATCAAATCATTTAAAATGATTTATAAATGAAGAAAATATTAGGAGAAAAATCTTAAGAGAAAAAATGAAGAAAAAAAGGGAAAGAAGGATCGATTAGAAAATAAAAATCTGTAATATAAAAGAAAGAGAAAGTCAAATGAAATCGCTTTAGAGAATTTACAAGCGAAGAAAATAAAAGATTTTCTCCACGAATACGAAAGAAAATAAAATTTATATGAAATCATTTTAGGGGGCTTACAAACGAAGAAAATTTTAATAGAAGGCATAGAGAGAGAGAAAGGTAAATGAAGAAGATTCGACTAGAAAATAGAAAGTCTCCTCCCTCCCCGCCAGTATCCCCAGCACGTATCCACGCGTATCTTCCGCATCCCGGCTCGTCTGCGAACGTTCGTCTTCCGTCGCCCGTACCCTACCTGTACCCCGCGTACACGCTGGGAACGCTCATTGTCATCCTCCGTAGCCCGACCACCCGTACCCGACACGTACACCGCACGTACCCCGCGCGTAACCTCCGTGAACGCTCACCCCGCTTAAGAACCCAACATCCGAAATGTTTTTGGGAAAAAGAACCAGCCTGCCTACGCAGAACGCAATGGAAAATTTGATAAAGTAATGGTGCCTTCAGCAATTCTTACCGGCTTGTTCATGAAAATCCCGGCCTGGATACAAGAGGACGTCCAAATCCGGTTTGCAAAGATTTTTTTCGTCTTCTATGCCAGTCGTGGGGTGACCACTGTGCTTATCAGGCTTTAGAGGAACCGTAAGAGGAGACGAGGCATGTTGAATGCTAGGGATCCGGTTATTATGGTTTCGAGTCTATTCAACTTGTTCGAAGCTGCTTGTCCTGCTTGCCCTCATGCAATCCGGAGTGCAGACGCTGCGCTGATGCAGAATGGTTAGCAACCCACGATGAGCATACTAGTAATTTGTTCAAGGATGTTTGGAGTTTGTGTCGAGTGAAGGCTGATGACAGCCCACAGCGAGGCATCGCTTCAGTCCCGGAGCAGCTGCAATGTGCACGTGTGTTTGAGTACGTTCTGATAGAGTGATATGGATGCAACTTCGATTCTGCTTTTTGTGTAAAACCCATATCTAAGGCATCAATATAGAATCGAGATCTCTTTTGTCGATGCGACGATTTTGAGATATAAGTATAAATGATAAAACCCCCAGACCTTGAACTTGATATCCTCGCCCCAAACCACCTCTAACCCCGGCACATTTTCCACTTGCCACGACTCCTGCAAGTTGAACGTCAGCCTGGAACGTGTCCCAAGTGATGATCTGCTGATCTGCTTGGGGTATATGGACGGCCGGAGCCAAAAGAACTTCCGAGACTTGCGTCCCGTTGACCCTGACTCCGTTCCATGCCCAACAAATGCGGAAGCCTTGAAACGCGGATATGCTACCGGTGTCGTGCACGTGCCATGCAATCACACGGTCACAACGTGCCTCAAACAGTCCGAATGTTCTGATTACATTCAAGCTTGTGGTCTGCGGATCCCTGGAACATCCGTGGTGTGAACAGCCGCTAGAACAAGTATCGCCGAAGCATACTTGATTTCGAGGAGCGCCAGCACAAAAAACCCACTGCTCTGCGCCAGGCCTCCTCGAGCAGCTGGGATTCTCCTCCTGGGGCTCTACATCTGAAAGCTTGGCCCGAGCTTCCTGAAAGGTCTATGTTGATCCCTCCAGGATGTGGGTCCTCTTTTTCAAGCTGTCAGAGTCATGGAGTCTGCAACACGCCGCTTCAAAAACAAACACGTTTGGCATGCGGACTCTGCGATGCCGAAAAGGGAGTCTACTCTGAAAGTCTTTTCAATCTTTTCAGGTGAGCCCTCCAGTCTGAGAGAGGCCCGTCTCTGGTCACGGTGACTCTGAGGATCCTAGAATCCTGCAGCTTGCTTAGCGGAATAGTACAACCCTTGCCATCAATCATGATACCTTCCCAATGCTTAAAGGATTCACGTCCCAGAACTGTACCACTGTCCTGAGAAGCAATCTCAATTGTGAAGGGCATCTGTGCCGCAGATCCATCTCGCATGACATAGAAGCCGAGCTCGTTGCCAGAACGCAGCTTGAGTACCATTTTCCAGTCATGGCCTCCGGTGCTGAAGTGATGGAATTCAACTTCCTTACCCTGGCCAAGCTCGTTTTCATGCAGCCTCCAGTCCAAGGTGCAAGCAGTGGTCTTTGCAGTCTCCTCTTCATCATCGTCCTCACTCAACTCTTGCAGCAGCTCTGCCGTCTCAAAAGCAGCCATGGCTGCTGCCGCACACACAATGCAAACGGATGGAATGGCCACGAGGTTCCACAGGAAGTGTCGAGTCGCGCTGTATCGACCCACTTGCTGAGTCGGCATCAAACGTGACGGATACTGCCGTACGGGACGTGAACGGTACAGGCGCTGCCCCGTGAATGGAGCTCTTTTGAAAGTGCTGTAGAGATAGCCCATCACAAAGACCCAGAGAGGAATGGTAAGCGACGGCGGGAGCTCTGGTTGAAATTTGAACGTGTGATCAGTCTTGCTTAACCCCAAGTCAAGCAGTGGTTGCCTGATTTCCTGCGCATCCGATGCGCGAGCAAAGGACATGAACGGTATGAGACTCCAAACGTGCCCCAAGAAGCTGCCTGTCTGGCTTTCCTTCGTCGATGCCACTGTGCTATCCTGAGCAGAAATTGGACGATGAACGCGGCTGAAACCCCATCGTTTCCAGAAGTCACGTGGTGCCTTTCTGCTCTCTGCAGCCGCATCCTTCTCATTCGGATCTTGCGACATCACTGGGCAGACTGTGGGCCAGCTGAGATCCACAGGACTGCGTTTCTGATGATGGGAGTTGTGCAAATGGGATGATGGGGTATCATGCACTGCTATCTTTCCAAGGCCGCAGGCTTCAGCCTCAACAAACCTCATCCCGAATTGAAGTGTGCCTCAGCTTCTTTGCCCTTGCGGTAGCATATCTGTACTCTTGCAGCGCTTTCGCCGCGGCGACTAGCTGCGGCGCAGCATCCAGGTCATGTGCAGAGCCTGGCCAGCAAGTATCGCAAAATGAACTGCAGGTTGATCCTAGAACAAGTGTCACACGGGCACGCCCGCACTCCTGCAACCTTCTGAACTCAAGGAGTTTCACCTCTGCTTCCGTGCCAGTTCTTTCGAGTTGATCTAAGGTAAGAGCTTACACTCTATTATTGCCAATACCGTTTTGGGGGGGTCCTTCCAACAATTATAGTATAATATACCGTAAAGCCCTACTCAGATTCTTAAGGCCCCTATAGTAGATCACCGTGGCAGTCATCGAATCTTGGGCTTTGGTCTGGAGGGGCTCAGCATGTTGGGGTGCCATCTTCCGCAAGATCGCCAAACCAATGCAAGGACGCAAGCTGCCTGAAAGCATCGGAACGTCTTCTGTACACAGCGCTGCAGGAACCCGATAAGCTTCAGGAGCTGTCAATCAGGTTCCTACGTCAAGCTTGGCACTGAGTGGTGCCATGGACCCAACAGCCAAAAATGTGAGTTTCAGAAGGTAGGAAACCCGAACAGAGAACCCCAAACAATAGGATGATCCTTGTTATGCAGAGCCCGAAGGTACCCTCTGCCCTAAACCCTACTTTGCTATGTTCGTAAAATCGCCGTTGCAAGGAACCAGGAGGTAATACCTTCTTCTGAAGACTCTAAATCATAGGATCCTGATTCACTATATAAAAATACCCTTAACCCCAAACCCTGGCTTTCTGAAACCCCCCAAAAGCTGTGCCGAAGCCGGGGGCTTCTTGTCGTCCCGCGGCTCCAGCGATCCGGGCTGGGATGCGAGGTTTCAGGCGGGTTTCAGGCGGTGGAAGATTTAGAGGGTTTAGGGATCTCAGGCTTGAGGGTTTAGGGCAAAAAAACGTAGAGCAGTTGGGGATTCTACGGATTCAAGTTCCAAAAGGAATAGAGTTTGGAGATTTGAGGGGCAGGGATGTGGGATTGAGGGCTTGACACCAACATCTCACAAGGTGTCCCAGCACTTCACGTGACTGGGGCTCTTCTTGATGTCCAGCTTCACGTCCTGGGTGGTGCCTGTCATCTTCACCACGATGAAATCGTCCCCATAGTTTGCACCCTTAATCCACTTCTTCTTCCGCTCTCCCCACAGGGCCGTGACACGAATCCGGTAGTCACAATACACGGCGCTGCCGCCAAGCGGAAGCCACTTCGCTGGCAGCTGCCACACACCTGCGGTCCCCACCGGCAGATTGGTGCCTTTGGAGGTTGTCTCAGTGAATTTGTCACCGTTCTTGTTGTAACACTGGGTCTTCAGCTCCACCTTGTCCACCTCGGACAGGCCAGTCGAATCGAACGCAATAAGGCACCCTCAAACCGGCACACCAAAGACCTTCACGACCCTACGAACTCGCTTGACCTTGCATCCTCAGCCGAGCCACGGAATAGCCGATGCCTGCCACCGCCATGAAAAAGATATTCCGGTTCACCGTGGCCCCACTGAAGCCCGGGGGGCGCGTGTCGTCGAAGGCATCGTCGTCGCGGTTCATGTACCTGTAGCCCCTCAAACCTCCTCAATCAAAAGCCTGTGACCCCATTTCTGCGGTGTATAAACCCAAGCCCCAAAACCGTGAACCTGAAGCCCTTGATAAGAGCTAGTGAGTGAGTAATTGGAGCCGCAGGTACTTGATGTCCAAGTCTCCCCAGTCAGTGCGGAGGCCATCGTCCTTGTCCAAGGAGGACGAGCCTGGGATTAAGGGCTTCAAGGGTTGGTGGTTTTTCCAGGGCTTCAGAGCTTTTTTTTTGTGCAATATTGTGCCGAAGCAATCTTCACCATCAGGCTGAAAGGTGCTCAGGAATACATGTAGGCTAGGAGCCGCAATACCAATGTTGGTAGACCCCGTTAGTCGCACTTCCACCAAAGACCAACGATTTCGACAGTGACATGTTAGACTTCCGTTGCAGCAAGCAGGTGCTGTTGCTAACAGCACCCGCCCAAGCGCTTCTCACCAGGGTGAAAGCCACAAGCCGTGCCGTGGCTGCCATGGGATGAAGTTGATACGTCATGTAAGGTCGTGTGCTGATGGCTCGAACCCGAACGGCAAAAGTCCAGCTCCAGATGTAAGCTTATAATGACAGGCATCCTCACTTCCAACTCTGCATGTCTGCACATCTGCACTTGTCCGCACATCTGCGCGCCTCAGGTGCCCTACGGCTGCTTGAAGTTCTCAGAAAGGTCCCCGTAGTTTCTGGGTCTTCTTGCAACGCTTGTTTTTTGGGGGCTTGATAGGGAAGCTTTACAAACATGGTGTTTTGGCCGGCCCGGGAGCATGGCGAAGCAACGGGCAAGGAAGCAAAAACGAATCAAGGATGAAATCCGATGCAACAAGGACGGCGATGTAGACGTAGATGATATTAGAACAGGTTTGTTGGGGAGGGTCCCTACACTGTAAATGTGAGAGAGAATCCTAGGGCATGGATGGTATCAGTACATATTAGGCAGGCTGGTGACTGGACCTACAGAAAGGGAGTGTGCGCCGCATCTTCAGGGGTTTAGGAGGAGTTTGCTTGAGCTGAGTGTCTTTAGCATCCACGGCTTAAGGATCTGGGAGCAGATAAAAACAAAGCTGTCCATGCTGAACGGCATTCGAGGCTAGGGGTGATTCAAGTTGTGTTGTCGGGAAGGGTGGGCTGAAGTTTAGGATTCCAAGCGCATTTGGAGCTTTGGGTTGAACCCACCCTAAACCCTAAACCCTAAATCCTAAACCCTAAACCCTAAACCCTAAACCCTAAATCCTAAATCCTAAACCCTAAACTCAAAAGCTTAAGCCTGAATGCTCAGCTTAAGCCTTATTACGTACAGGAGCGTACTACACCGTGTTCGGGAAGGAAACGAAAGACTTTCTAGTCTTTACGAAGTAAATGGTAATTATAGACATAATTACTACCATTTACTAGTAAGCTCATAACTGATTGCAAGTATTCCGTAATATATAGAGTTATATAGCACCCTAAACCGGTGTTTCTAACCATCGGATCCCTCGAGTGCTCGTGTGTGCCCAAGCTGGTCGGGGCCACATTCTGCAGCAAAACAAGGCCGTTCTTTTCGTGTGCCTGCTCTAAACCATCCGGTGTCCAGGTGTGCCCAAGGCAGTCAAGCCCACATTCTGCAGCAAAACAGGGCCGTTCCTTTCATGTGGCTGCTCTTAGCCACCTACCTCATCCCTAAACCGGTTTTCTAAATTTAAGTCGCGCTTGTCCTTTTCGGTAAAGGACAACCAGCTCTAAAATCAAGATTTTCTTCATTTAGTCGCGCTTGTCCTCTTCGGAAAAGGACAACCAGCTCTAAATTTCAGATTTTCCACATTCTGCCTCCAGAATTCTGGAAAATTGCTGGTGATTTTCAAGTGACAAATTCTGTTCATAAAATGTGCCTTTTAGACTACGCCGGCTGCGAATCTCGAGGTGCCCCCCTTTCTTTTCGTGTGGCTGCTCTTAGCCGCCTTCCCCATCCCTAAACTCCGTCCCTCGGAGCTCGGATCAAAAAATGGACCCTCGAGTGCTCGTGTGTGCCCAAGCAGGTCGGGGCCACATTCTGCAGCAAAACAGGGCCGATCTTTTCGTGCGCCTGCTCTAAACCATCTGGGGTCAGGTGTGCCCAAGGCAATCAAGCCCTCATTCTGCAGCAAAACAGGGCCGTTCTTTTCATGCGACTGCTCTTAGCCACCTGCCTCATCCCTAAACTGGTTTTCTAAATTTAAGTCGCGCTTGTCCTTTTCGGTAAAGGACAACCAGCTCTAAAATCAAGATTTTCTTCATTTAGTCGCGCTTGTCCTCTTCGGAAAAGGACAACCAGCTCTAAATTTTAGATTTTCCACATTCTGCCTCCAGAATTCTGGAAAATTGCTGGTGGTTTTCCAGTGACAAATTCTGTTCATAAAATGTGCCTTTTAGACTACGCCGGCTGCGAAACTCGAGGTGCCCCCCTTTCTTTTCGTGTGGCTGCTCTTAGCCGCCTTCCCCATCCCTAAATTCCGTCCCTCGGAGCTCGGATCAAAAAATGGACCCTCGAGTGCTCGTGTGTGCCCAAGCAGGTCGGGGCCACATTCTGCAGCAAAACAGGGCCGTTCTTTTCGTGTGGCTGCTCTTAGCCGCCTTCCCAATCCCTAAACTCCGTCCCTCGGAGCTCGGATCAAAAAATGGACCCTCGAGTGCTCGTGTGTGCCCAAGCAGGTCGGGCCCACATTCTGCAGCAAAACAGGGCCGTTCTTTTCGTGTGGCTGCTCTTAGCCGCCTTCCCAATCCCTAAACTCCGTCCCTCGGAGCTCGGATCAAAAAATGGACCCTCGAGTGCTCGTGTGTGCCCAAGCCGGTCGGGGCCACATTCTGCAGCAAAACAGGGCCGTTCTTTTCGTGTGCCTGCTCTAAACCATCCGGTGTCCAGGTGTGCCCAAGGCAGTCAAGCCCACATTCTGCAGCAAAACAGGGCCGTTCTTTATGCGGCTGCTCTTAGCCACCTACCTCATCCCTAAACCGGTTTTCTAAGTTTAAGTCGTGCTTGTCCTTTTCGGTAAAGGACAACCAGCTCTAAAATCAAGATTTTCTTCATTTAGTCGCGCTTGTCCTCTTCGGAAAAGGACAACCAGCTCTAAATTTTAGATTTTCCACATTCTGCCTCCAGAATTCTGGAAAATTGCTGGTGATTTTGAAGTGACAAATTCTGTTCGTAAAATGTGCCTTTTAGACTACGCCGACTGCGAATCTCGAGGTACCCCCCTTTCTTTTCGTGTGGCTGCTCCTAGCCGCCTTCCCATCCCTAAACTCCGTCCCTCGGAGCTCGGATCCAAAAATGAACCCTCGAGTGCTCGTGTGTGCCCAAGCAGGTCGGGGCCACATTCTGCAGCAAAACAGGGCCGTTCTTTTCGTGTGGC